TAAAAATGTTAAATTTACCTTTTATTCATTATAATATTAAAGTATCAAAATACATTTAACTTTACTAACCCCCCCTTTTTTTTTTGTTGCACACCATTTGCACTGTAATAAATTTTTTTCTTCCACCGATCACAAGGTTAGATTACAAAATTCACAATTCGTTGGCTATAGTTTGGGGGTGTTTGCAAATCGGCCCTCATAATAACTTAGTTCACAAATCATGTCAGCCTGAGGTTGACGTGTTGCCAACTTCAGCTTTCTATGACTCTATCACCCAACTTTTGGTCGGGGCTCATATAAGTGTCTTTTCCTGTTGTCACCATCTCCTCTCTCCTCACCTCGAAGGGCATAAGAGAAAGCATAAAGAAATGTGGGTAATTTCTTTTATAATTTTTATATATTAGTGAATAAATAGATAAATATAATATTTTTAATAATAATAAATTAAATTACGACAAAAACACTTTTGGGATCAATCCTTCTTGTCTCCTTCAGTTTTGGAATTTTTTTGGTCCAGTACAGCACAAGTTAATTTCTGATTGGATTAATGTCACTAAAAATCCTTCAATTTTATACAAGGAGTTATTATCATCCTTCTACTTTAAAACAGGTCATAAATATCCTTAAACTTTAGGTAAAGAGCAAAGCATCATCCCTCGATTGAGTAACGTTATCACACCGCAAATATATCCGTCAAAATACTTCGATTTTTAATGGTAAGGTAACATTGTTGTTCCCTCACCTTTTAGTTCTTATGCACTTTGATCCTTAAACTTCGTATTTATTTAGTTTTGGTCCTTGATTTTAACTTTTCTTATTGTAACTCACTCCTAAAATTTTCAAAGAATTTCACTTAAGTATCAAAATTTCTAATTTCATGCATTCCAATTTTTTGCCAAATAATAAAAATCATGTAAAATCCAATAAAATTACTCTTACTTTATCCAAAATATTAATGAAATTAAAGTTAAAAAAGTAAACTAAAATATATAAAATTCCTCTATTTAAAGTGAAAAATCACATCTCTAATGCTCAATTTAAAATCCCCAAAAGTAAAGAAAAGACATTTAGTGAGTTGTGTATATATATAATTCACATAAAAAAAAGGGGAAAGTAACGAGATTATGATAAAAAAAAGAATAAATAAGAGATACTTGTCTTTTTTTTTTCTTGTAATACACTCATAATTATTATAAAAATATTACTCAAAATTATCATTAATTCATGATATTCACATGACCACATTTACATTATACTCATAAGTAATATTTACATCATTTACAATTTCATCACTTGGGTTCTATTACTTCATAGGATTTTAAATTGGGTATCAAAGGCATTTTTGGGATAAGTGGCTATAAAAATTTGATTTTACACTTTAATGATTTGAGTTTTATATATAAAAAAGGTCTTATGCATTATGAATTATATTGAATTGCATAACACTAACTATTAGATCAAGATTAGTCTCCAATATCAATGGTTTTTATTTTATCATCTGATGTAATTTAGATTGTAAAACATATTTTCATTTATATATTTTATATTACTATTTTAGACTTATTTTTATTTAATATTTAAATGAGTTAAATACTTGAATGCAATTTTATTAAGAGTTAGATAATTTTTATTATTTGTGCAACGAAAGACTGAAATACAAATTTTGAGATTTAAGTGCACTTCTTTCAAAATTTCAGGAAATAAATTGTAATAAACAAGTTGAAAATTAGGGATCATATTGAATAAATCTTTTAAGGATTAAAGTGGATAAAAATTGAAACATGAGGGACAAGAAAATGTTATTCTACCTTTAAATTTTCGAGAATTTTAACGGATGTATGGACGGCGTTATGACAGGGATATGCTTGGCCCTTTCTTGAAAGTTTAGGGATGTTTATGACTTGTTTTAAAATAGAAGGATGACAATGAATCCTTTTGTAAAGTTGAGGGATTTTTAGTTATATTAAACTTTTCTGAAGAAAAGGTATAAAAAAGTTTTTTTTTTCTCGCTTTAAAGATGTTAAAGTTGATTGATTTTTAAATAAGGATATTAAATTTTAATTTTTTTTATTTAA